CCCCAAAACCCCAAAACCCCAAAACCCCGTAGGGAAAGATATCAATTTGTGAATCGAAAAAATTGAGTTGACTAATTTAATATATAACAAATTATAATAACCTCCTATTAGACCTCACTGAGTAAAGCAGGTGAGGTAAGAAAGGTATTATTTTTATTATTTATCAAAAATCAAATATTCAAGAATGTATTAAATATTGGCTACCCTCGACTCGGTTAATTTCTAGTCACTAAACATCAATGTTATGTCTAATTTAACCCAAATTAAAGAACAAGTATGCATTTTTCAACCTTATTCATCTAGATTTCGGATATATTTAAACTTGCGGATCACTTTGAGTTCGATCTTTTATCTGATGATTATAGAATGATAAATATACCATCCCAAGACATAATAGTCGGCAATCCTCAAACAACACACCTGAAGATTGCTCTACTTAATCAAAAACTAACAGATTAAACAGCAGTTTCCAGAGTTGCATTATCATCTTTTGCAAAATCAACTTAGGAACTATGTATATTCACCTTTTCTATAATATTAATTTAGCTTCTCATTAAAACTTGGAACTAACAATTCCATATCTAATTTTGAGAAATAATTTTGAAGAGAAGAAGAAAGTATCAAACGACCAGACTATTGAAGACTTGTTACTAGATAAAGTGATCAGTAAAAAGTATGTCTGCCCGATTTCTGGGTGCAGAAAGACTTTTGATTAAGCTGTAGAAGTATTTAGTCACTCAAGGGGTCATGTAATATATATATATTTTTATAGTTAAAGTTTAAAAATAAAGATTTCAGATGTCAAGATTGTGGCAAATATTATCAATCCAAGACCCATTTACAGAATCATCGAAAAGTGCACTAAGATAAGAAACAATTCAAGTGTGAGTATGTTGGATGCAATAAAAGTTATAGTATAATGTAAAGATTATAAATTCACAGGCGAACCCACGTAAATTATTTGTCTCTAACGATTAGTAGAATGGACTCAAACCTTTTCAATGTCCATATGAGTCATGCCAAAAGAGATTTAATGAAAAAGGGAACCTAAAGACTCATATTAGATCCCATACTGGACTTCGCCCTTATGTTTGTAATGCCTAGGGCTGTGAATCTGCTTTTATCACTTAAGGTCACCTGAATGATCATTAAAAAAGACATTAAAAGATTTAACCTCAAGAACAAGACACTTAAAATTTAAATAACTTAATTTCAACATCGCATACACTAAGGCCAGATAACGATCGAACTGAGAAAAATTAGTCGTAAAATATCGATGTTCAATTTTCTCATACTCATAAAGCGTAACATTAACTCAAAAATTTTCTATGGAGAAAATTAGTTGAGAAGGAAACAGGCTTTTTACCTCTAGAATGCTGAGAGTGACAATTCATCTCTTAAGATTTACATTTTTACGCTAGTAGATTTATAAATATCATCATATAATTTTTAATCCTCGATAATAAAATATTAATATAATTTACTATATTCCATTTGCTTAGCTGATATCCCATATTCAATATTTTCAATAAAAGTTAATAATACGTCCATGGGGTTTTGGGGTTTTGGGGTTTTGGGGTTTTGGGG